GTCTATTTTATTGCTTTGTACCTTGCTAAATTCAGTGACTTAGGAGAAATAATATTTACTCTTTTGGGAGAAATAATATTTAAAATGAACATACCTACTTCACAAAGTATTTAAAGGTACTTGTGATGGATATTATATTTCATAAGTTTTAATATGGTTTAGTATAAATATGCCATAATTTGTAGGTAATACTGTATTTTGGGGGGTTGTTAATGTCTAAGGTAAAATCTTAGATAATCTGAGTTCATGTTGATGAATGGAAATCTGATATTTCTAAATGACTAGGTCTTTTCTTGAAGTTCAGTGTACTGTAACTTTATTCTTAGTGATGCTAACTCCCTCTGTGGAACTTCATTATGATTGCAACTTGACTTGTTCGATTATTTAGCAAAATGATTGAAACATTTAGGATAGATTTTAAATTTTTCTTGTAAAATTTTACTTTATATCCTAATAATTCCAAGTGCTTTTCTTGTTAAAATATTACTTTTATAAAAATGTCTCACCTCGTATATATTGAATTTTAATAGTACATGCGAAATGAAACCACCTTCCTCAAACGTTCCTACAACTTTTATGCTTTTTTGTTTGGGAAAGCCATAAATACTTGCAAGTTCTAGGTCTGTAGCTCTGTGTTAGGTTAGACAGGAGATTAGAAAAAAGTCTAATGGAAGATTTGGAAAAAAAGATTGTTTTGGAGTTTGAATTTTGAATTTATGGATTTTTAGTTTCTCAGTGTTGAATTGGGTGAGAAAATGTTCATTGAAGGATTTTTTTTGGTTTTTTTTTTGGTCTTGTTGAAAAGAGACAAAATTTCTGCTTGGTAGAAAGAGCAAAGAGAGATAACTTAGTAGGATCCTGAAATTCAACAAGAAATGTAGGAAATACCTTTCACATATATAATTTCTGTAAATTTATGCTCTTGCAAAGAAAATTCTTTGTTAACAAATCCTATTACTGATTTCCCTTTGCAAGAGTGTGTCTGTTTCTTCTGCCACTGCTTTTTCTCCTTTGTTTCCCAAACTATTTTATATTTAAATATTAAATTGTATAATTACTTTTTCAAAGATACTTTCCATTCTAGAATGCGGGCAGAGGGAATATGATTGGCTTCCAAAATGGAATTTAGAAAAATGGGCAAACTGACATCAACCATAACTAGGGACTAAAATATAAGTAATGAAGATAGGAAAGCACTAAAGTATATGTGCTCTTTGAATTTATAAAAATTTAACTATATGAACATAATAAAAAATACAAATGTAAAAAAAAATTTAACTATTTTACTTACTAAGTAGGACTGAATGTCGTTGTTAAGATCTTGCATGAATAAGTTTTTAAACAATTCTGTAGGATAATTATCTTTGAACCCTTCATTAATACTAAACATATTTATTATTCTGTTAAAGTGTAATGTTTATGCAAACACAGGCACGCATTATGGTGGCACAAAGAAATTCATTTTATTCATTTTTATATTTGTTGACCTTGACTGAATTTAGATCAGATATTATTTAAAATCTTTTTTTTTTTTAATTTATTTTGACAAAGAGAGAGAGAGAGAGAGCAAGAACACAAGCAGGAGGAGTGGGAGAGGGAGAAGCAGGCTTCCCGCCGAGGAGGGAGCCCGATTTGGGGCTCGATCCCAGGACCCTGGGATCATGACCTGAGCCGAAGGCAGACGCTTAACCATCTGAGCCACCCAGGCGCCCCTCAGATATTATTTAAAAGAATAGAATTGGGGCACCTGGGTGGCGCAGTCGTTAAACATCTGCCTTCGGCTCAGGTCATGATCCCAGGGTCCTGGGATAGAGTCTTGCATCGGGCTCCCTGCTCAGCGGGAAGCCTGCTTCTCCCTCTCCCACTCCCACTCCCCCTGCTTGTGTTCCCTCTTTCGCTGTGTCTCTCTCTGTCAAATAAATACAATCTTTAAAAGAAAAGAAAAGAATAGAATTGAACTGTTTTATTAATATAACAAATCCATCCTTTGTTATCTTTAAAGCATATATTATGTCCTTGAAATAGTAATAATGTTTTTTTGTCAGTAAAAACTTTGGATCAATATGTAAATATTTTCCTGGGGGTTATTAGAGTTTGTGTGTTTTGTTTCTTTCTGAGAGAGAACAAGGGGGTAGGAGGAGTAGAGGGTGAGGGAGAGTGAGGGGGACAGAATCTCAAGCCCACTCTGTGCTGAGCTTCAGCGCAGAGCCGAGGAGGGATGGAGTCCCTGAGATCATGACCTAAGCCGAAACCAAGAGTCAGATGCTCAAGTGACTGACCTAGCCACCCAGATGCCCCTAGTTTTTATCTTCTAAACAGTTACCTTTTCAGTCTTTAAAGATAACTAACCCATCTCCCATTAGTCTTTGGAAGAAATCTGGAGTGAACTTCTTTATATTATTATTGGCTACTTTTAAGTCCAGGTTATTTTGAATTTGGTTTAACTTATGTGTCACATGTATAGTAGTAGTGCTTTCCAATGTTAACTGTATTACTTAAAGTTTTCTTAATGTTAACTTAAAAAATTAGCCTCATCTTGTTAACACTTGTGAAATTATGAGTTTTATACATTTGATTATAGAACTATTAAAAGAAAAAATGTTTGCCCCTCAGTATTGTCACGAGTACTAGTTGACATCATGTGCTTCCTGATGCGATGCACAGAGAAAGACAGAATGTCACATGTGTAGTGTTCCTACAAAAATGCATGAATCTGATTGTGAGGGAGACATCAGACCCAAATTCAACAAAACAGCTGGCCTTTATTCTTGAAAAGAGTCACTGTTGTGAAAGATAAAGACTGAGAAACTTTTCTAGATTGAGAGAAATCAAAGAAACGTAACAAGTAAATGTAATACGTGATCCTGCATTGTATCCTGGGAGGGAAGGAGGGGTATTTTAAAGTACATTGTTGGAACACTTGGCAAAATTGCGTACGGGTTGTAGATTATAGTACTGTAGCAGTGTTAAATATCCTGGATTAACAAATGTACTGTGGTTATGAAAGACAGTAGTCTTATTTTTAGAACATAACACACAGATATTTGGGGGTAAAGAGTGTTGATGTCTGCAGTGTACTCAAATGGTTCAGCAATAACTATGAGTAATACTGGTAATTATAGTGAGAGATAAGTCAAACCATATTATGTTAAGTAAGTTTGTTATTATGTTAAGTAAATTTAGGTGATGAGTATACAGGAGTTAGTACAATTTTTGCGTTTTTTTGATAAGCTAGAAATTATTTCAAAATAGGAAATTAAAAAAAAAAAGTCTCGGGGTGCCTGGATGGCTCAGTTGTTAAGCGTCTGCCTTCGGCTCAGGTCATGATCCCAGGGTCCTGGGATTGAGCCCCTCATTGGGCTCCCTGCTCAGTGGGGAGCCTGCTTCTCCCTCTCCCACTCCCCCTGCTTGTGTTCCCTCTCTCACTGTATCTCTCTCTGTCAAATAAATAAATAAAATCTTAAAAAAAAAAAATTGTCTCAAGTATCACCAGTGGTACACATACTATACTCTGGGAATCACTTGGTCATATGGATCAGTAGTGGCTATAGTGTAAAACATTTTTATTTTTTTAAAGATTTTACCTATTTATTTGAGACAGAGAGAATGAGAGAGACAGAGAGCATATGAGAGGGGGGAGGGTCAGAGGGAGAAGCAGGCTCCCTGCCGAGCAGGGAGCCCGATGCGGGACTCGATCCCGGGACTCCGGGATCATGACCTGAGCCGAAGGGCCGAAGGCAGTCGCTTAACCAACTGAGCCACCCAGGCGCCCTTTATTTTTTTTAAAGATTTATTTATTAGAGAGAGAGAACAGGCACGAGCAAGGGGAGGGGCAGAGGGAAAGAGAATCCACAAGCAGACTCCCTGCTGAGTGCAGAGCCCAACTCTGGGCTTTATCCCAGGACCCTGAGATCATGACCTGAGCCGAAACCAGTAGTAACCAAGAGTTGGTTACTTAACTGACTGAGCCACCCAGGCGCCCCACCCCTACTCATCTTTTAAGACTTAACTCAGATATTAATTCTTTCTGGTAGCTTTCTCTATTGTACACTCTTCTGTACTCTGGGATTCGTTTGGTGCAAACCATCAGGCAGACCAGAATTAAAATCCTGGTTTTGATAATGACTAGTTGTGAGACTTTGGGTTAGTTACTTATTCCTTTAAAATATTTCTTCACCTAAATTATGAAAATGATGACACTTAACCTTATAGAATTATTGTGGGGATTAAGTAATATACATATAGAGAATTCCATGATGACTGGCATGTGAATAACTACTTCGACTTTTATTTATTTTTTGCTTACCTTCCTTCAGACTCAGTACTTTGAGCACAAGGTTCATCTTTGTATCCTCAGTGCCTGGCCCCTAGTAGAAATTTAGTAAATATTTGTGAATACTTAAAGACTATTTTAGTCTGCAGAGTATCTATGATGTTTTCAATTCATATGTTTATTCGTGTATTTTACCATTAAGTGGGTTTATTTACAGTAATTTTGGTTGTTTGGGTTTTACTACAAGGTTGATGATTAATGAAACAGTTTTGTTTTCCAAGTTTTGTCTTCATGAATATAATCAAATTTAACAGCAGGCTCCTTATGAAAATCAGAATCCTTAGTTAAGTGCTTCTCTCATTATTCCTTAAATATCATCAACCTAAGTTTCCTTAGTAGAGAGCAAACAAGTTTCTGTTTTTTCTCTAACGTTTGGATTGAACTTTGTATATAAGTACCTCTAATTCTAGTAGGCAGCTGGTGTTGGTGATTAAGTTTGGAATAATTTGTGTGACTGCCCCCTTAGTCTGGATTCTGAGAGAATTTTTTTAAATGTCTATTTTAGGTTATTTTAATCAGAATTTTTTTCCTCTTTTAAAATATGTGGTAGATGAGAGCATAAACTTTTCCAGAACTAATTCTCTCCAAAGTTGGGAGATGTTTATACTATTTGTGCCTTTGGTTATGTAAGTAACAGATACCCAAAACAAAATGACTTAATCTATAAATGGAAAATTTTATTATTTAACACAATAAATCTGGAGGTAAAGGTTGGTTAATTCAGTGCTTCAGGAACATCATCAGGAAGCCCTTTCTTTCTGGATATAATTTTCAGCCTCTTCCTCAGTTTCATCCTTAGCAACCCAGCAGGACAACTTTAAAAGGAAACAAAATTATTTACTGTCTCTAAACCAGGGAAGGTAGAAAAATACATTCAGAAGAATGGTATACAGTATAAACTGCTGCTTTGGTTCATGCTTTATATTTGAAAAGAGATGCTGTATATTTTTAGGGGATCACGATGGGGAAGCTAATCACATTTCTGCTGCCTCTTGAAAACATCATTATGGTATAGTTATTTTGGGGGGGAGTTTAAAGTCTTAGTACTTTTGGAGATTTTATTTTAGGCTACTATAAATTGTTACTCAGTAACTTGTTTAGAATTATTTTACTGAGTCACTTAACAAAGGTGGGATTAGATCTTCTCCATAATATAAGAATATTAACTCCTGTGCAAAGAGTATGTATAGATTAGCCATTGATGAAAGGAACAACCGAGTTCAGTCCATCTTGAAGAAAGAATAAAAGTAGAATTGAATCATCTCTGGAAAAAGCAAGATGGCCTGTCATTCTAGTACTTACTATATGTAAGAATGTTTAATATTAGTAGGTAATTGTATAATTAAAATATTCTAATTTAGGGATCTTCTAATCAGTTTGTAATAGCCAAACTACCAAAGTTCCATTTATCTTGCATGTGAAGAACTTTTTAAGTAGAAAGCTCTGCCTTAACTTTCATAATGTTTATATATATTTATGCTTTTCATTTCTCTGCAAAGCTTTTCTTGTTAATGTGAAACTTGGAAAATAATAGTAATAATTTGCAGTTCAGTAAAGATTATAGTAGTATCTAATTTTACAATATTCCTGAGACACTGGTAATTTTCAGCCTCTCTTCAAGACTTTCATACTACTTTTAACTGTCATGGTTATCATTTGCATGTTTCTTATTTCCCTTGTTGATTCTAATTATGCCCTCAGGAGTTAGCATAGTATAAATTTATTATTTAATGTTTTTATTTGAGTATCATTGACATAAAATATTATATTAGTTTCAGGTGTACAGCGTAGTGATTGGATAACTATATGTTTTCCTATACTCATCACAAGTGTTAGCTACCATCTGTCACCATATAACCTTATTACAGTACCATTGAATAAATTCCCTATGCTGTACCTTTTTTTAATTTAAAAAATTTAAAAATTTTTAAATTTAGTTTATTTATTTATTTTTTTTTATGAGAGAGAGAGAGCATGAGAGGGGGGAGGGTCAGAGGGAGAAGCAGAGCCAGATGAGGGACTCAATCCTGGGTCTCTAGGATCATGACCTGAGCCTAAGGCAGTTGCTTAACCAACTGAGCTACCCAGGTGCCCTATGCTGTACCTTTTATTCCCATGACTTATTTATTCCATAAGTGGAAGCCTGTAAGCATATTATAAATTTATTATGTTTTCTATAGGACATCTCATCAGATATTTGAAGGTGATTAAACATTTTTTAGGGGTAGAAACTGTCATTTGTGTTTCCAGGACTCAGTTGGCCATTATATTTGTTGATTGACTTGATTGAGAACTTAATGTGTATCAATGTTTCATTGTCTTCCATTAATTTGTATAATGGAGGGAATCTTTTGTTGTTCTTAGATTTGTGGTCTGTAAAAGTATAAAGTTATATATATGTTTCCATAATCATTTTACTTGGGCCTGCATAAATCAAGTATTTTTTTTTAAACTGTAATAAATTAATCTTGTAAACCCATTGTTAGTAACTTGAAAAAACGAATATTGTATGAGATGAAGCACTTCTTTTTATTGCTAATTTCAGGTTACACTGGGAAACCCCTATGTGAAAGTATAGGTCTATTACCTGTCTTTGTTCTGTCTGGAGTGATTTATTGATACTGTAAAACAAAGTTTATCAGTAAGACTGTAAGTTTCTGTTGGATTCTGGGGATCTTGCCCTTGACTTTGATACTGGTATTGTTGGCAGCATTATCATTGTTATTAGTCATTATCCCCTGATGTCTGCATTTGTATGGCAGAATAAATAAAGCCATTATACAGGTGTAATTCCAGGATGACTTAGCATACAGCTTTCTGTCAATCTGTTGGACTTTTATTTAGAAAAAATTTTTTTAAAGACTTTGGGTGTTATGGTTCTATGTCTCTCTGCTTATGGCCTTTTTTTTTTTTTTAAAAGATTTTATTTATTTATTCATGAGAGACAGAGAGAGAGAGAGAGGCAGAGGGAGAAGCAGGCCCCCAAGGAGCAGGGAGCCCGATGTGGGACTCGATCCCAGGACCCCGGGATCATGACCTGAGCCGAAGGCAGACGCTTAACCATCTGAGCCACCCAGGCGCCCTGCTTATGGCCTTTTTATGTACAATTTTTTTTGGTGGTAAAGTTGTGTTTTATCATGAATGATTGATTAAAATGAATGATTCCATTTCCCATCCACAAAGTTATTCATAATATGAATTCATATTCAAAGTTATTCATAAGTTATTAATGTTTTAGGTTATGCCATTCTTCTCTTATAGCAGTAATGAAAATGTCCCTCAGGTTCTTGAATGTTCTCAGCTTTAGAAAACATTTAGTATCATTCCTTTAATTTTAGTACTGAATAAGCTGAGGCATAGAAATCATAATTGGCAAGGAAAAGACGGTTACTGGGTTTTCTGTTTAGTCCATTGTTCTTTGCATTTTACCAAATCGTAGTCATTTTCCCAATATATGCATTAGGGAAACATTGCATTTTGAATTGATGCCCTTTCAGAAAAGCAGCAGATTTGTTCTTTATTTTCACATTATGGATTTTTAGTTTGAATACAGGTTACCTAGTTACCCCGTTATTAAGTATTCTATCCTTTATTGTCATGACCTCTTTTGAAGTAATAGTAATGTTTCCTCATATGAAGAATAGAGTACTAGAAATTTAATGTACTTGTTCAAGGTCACAGTGTATGTGTTGAATCAAGAGTACTCAAATCAGTTGTAGCTCTTTGGCTCTTTTGTCACCCTTTGTGTTGTTAATATAACATAATTCATGTGAATCATCTAACTAGTTCTCAAGTGTGGGGACACACAAATATGTACATTATTTATATTTGGCCTATTATAATTTTTGTAAATTGAAAATCTGATCTTGTTTCTTCCAGGTTTAAAACCTTTTAATGACTTCTCTGCATAATGAAACCTAAAGAACTTTCTTTGCTTTTTAATCTCTAGTTCTGGCATCTTTTTGCAGTTCATTGAACATGTCCCTCTTGTCTACGTATTTGTACATATATTTGTCCCTCTAAAAACCTCCTCCTTGTAGGTCTCTCACCACTCCAAATTCTTTTCAAGATTCAGATCTTTATCTGGAAAACTTTAAAACAAAATTTATCTGACTAAATTTAAAGATCCACTTGCCTTTATTTGATGATTTATTGATTTATTTATTACTTTTGCAGGATTTCTCTGGTGCTTAGCATTCAGTTCAATATTAACTATTGGTGAAATATACAGGCATTCATGAGGCCCTTTAAGAATGTAGCAGCCCTGGGACGCCTGGGTGGCTCAGTTGTTAAGCGTCTGCCTCCAGCTCAGATCATGATCCCAGCGTCCTGGGATCGAGCCCCGCATCAGGCTCCCTGCTCAGCGGGAAGCCTGCTTCTCCCTCTGCCACTCCTGCTTGTGTTCCCGATCTCGCTGTCTCTCTGTCAAATAAATAAATACAAACCTTAAAAAAAAAGAAAAAGAATGTAGCAGCCTTTTAAGAATGGGTATCTAGCTGGCTCAGCTGGTGGAGTGTAGGACTCTTGATCTCTGGGTTGTGAGTTTGATCTCCACGTTGGGTGTAGAGATTACTTAAAAATAAAATCTTAAATGTAGCAGCCAGCACATATTTGATCCTTATTGAAATTATGCAGGCTGTAGGTCAGCCTTCTGGGCTAAAGGTGAACATTTTCCTTCTTCTATCCTTCATCGTTTCCCCCCTGACCAATTTTTGGTCCTTAAATCTTTAAGGTTGTTGAAGGGCAAAAGGCTCATCTTCTGTAACTTCTTCAAGCTGACAGGGATCATAGAAATGTTCTTACCTATGGACTGAAATTGGTTACTGTCTGTCTCTACAAGTAACCACCATGGAAGGCCATTGTTATAGAATTCAGCGTGGACATTGGGGTGAATTTGTTTTGAGTAGTAAGGATCATCTGTTGGCTGGGTGAAGGAGTCAGAAACTGCTTGCATGTATCTTGATAATAGAACAAAACGAAAGTGACAACACTTTAGGATTAATATAATAAAAATAAGAAGTGTGATAGGAAGACTCTTTAAGGTACACCATAGTCTACCTCCCAATTAAAAACTAATCATTCGAAGAACTAAGAGTTAGACATTGCCTTAATTTGCATGTGTATGAGCTAAAAATTTGGATTACATTAGCAGAGTCATCTGGGATACATATACAACATTTAGTCTTAATATTAGCATAATAACTTCCTTCCTGATTTGCAATCAGAATATCAAGGGCCATTAGGTTTTGGAGTGCCACTTTTCAAATTTGTGGGTGACTTCATGTTGGGTTTCGTTAAAGGTGGCTTCTGTATGCTTGGCTAACGCTTCTGTTTGTAATTTTTACATCAAGAGAGGTGGCTCCCAGGACAAGGAATAAAACCATTATGAAGCTTTCTTTGCCTGATGTCTAGCCTTAACACTATCCTAATTATGAGGAATTGCTGGCAAGTAGAAGATGACTTGTCTTGAGGAGATTAGGGCATCCTCATGTGGATTCTCCAATCTAATTAAAAGGAAAGTAGGGCACCACTAAGCACCTGGGTGTCTTAGTCTGTTAAGCATCTGTCTGTTGATGTTGGCTCAGGTCATGATCTCAGGGTCCTGGGATGGAGCTGTATTGGGTTCCACACTCAGTGGGGAGTTTGCTTGAGGACTCTCTCTCTCTCTCTCTCTCTCTCTGCCCCTCCCCCTGCTCGCACACTCGCTCTCTTTCTCTCCTTCTGTCTTTAAAAATAAATAAATAAATCTTTTTAAAAAAAAGGAAAGTGGGGCTATCAATTTTCTGTACAAGTTCATAGCTAATCCCATGGAGTTGGGTACGCTCTGACTTTTAAGGAGCATTTTTGTTATCCCAGCCACATAGTCTGTCAAGGCGATAGTTAAGTTACACAGTTGTTGGGGAGTCCACAAAATAGAATGGGTTTCAGCAGCTGCTTGGGACTATTCCTTAGAGTCCCCATCCTGAAGCACACTAGCCAGACAATTGGCTCCAGTTATCATAGCCATTAATCTGGGAAACGAATGATGGCGAAAACCCCACATGCAACAAGAGTCCGGCAATATTCATCCAGGCCTGTCAAGATATGTTTCAGATCTGGCACACAAAAGAAGCAGCAAAAAAAGAGAAGACAAGTGACTCGGAAAAACAGAGAGACTCAGGTACAGGATGTTGGCAGCAACCTGTTTACAAGAGAGACAAAGGGAGGGTGCACATAGCGAACAGGAGAGGACACAGGTGAGGTTGTAGATTAACAATAGAAGGGCTTGAGGCAGCTGAGCTGATGGTGGGTTGAGGGGTAGAGGGTAAGGAGAGGGGTGTCCTTAGGCCCCCTAGAGGACTATAGGACAAATCAGTGTTTTGGTATAGGGCCATAAAGGCCTGACCTTTTGAGATTTTGGTCCATTTTCCTTGATGCTTACAAAAAAAAAAGTCTAATTGCTAAATAGTATTGAAGCTTAAGAACCCATTAATGGACCTTTTTTTTTAAAATCATCCTCTATACTACATCAAAAACTAATGATGTAATGTGTGGTGATTAACATAACATAATAATAAAAAAATAAATAAATAAAAATAAAATCAGCCTCCAGAGACTATTGAGGCCAGGCATTATTATAGAAGAAGATGAGGCACTTCTTTAAATCCTGTTGTCCAAATTGATTTCAGTATGTTAGGAGACAACCAAAGAAATCCTTTGGGATTGAGGAAGTTGATCCCATAGTCAATTCATACAAAATGAGGAGAGTACATTAACTACCTAGGAGTCCATTACCAAAATCCCCCTTGGCTTTGAATGGCATCCCATCAGGAATATTGCCAAAGGTTCCTGGGGTTCACGGTGGTGGGAGGCATTTTTCTTTCTTAACTGGTTTGGTACCTTTGTACTACCTAAGAAGGGATGTTGACATCCCTTTGCTTCCCCATTGCATTCTAGACTACAACAGATGCTGGTAAATGGACTGAATCGCTGCAGGGATTGGGGCTGCCTCTTTCCATTTTGGGTGAGCCAATATATTTGGCAACCAATAGTAATACCATTTGAAAGCCTCTGGATATAGTATTAGAAATAAGGTATGGAACCCCTATCTAATCCAAGCAACTTGTCGTGAGCTCAATCCATGATCCAGTCCCAAGGGAAGGTCCCCCATCAAGTGAGTTCCCCAACTGCATAATAGCTCTTGTCTCTTTCAGGAAGTACACGGTCAGACATAACTTGGATTTTATGCTCATTGAGGATCACACCTGGTTATTTAGGAGGAAACCTTACACGGGAGTCTTGGGATTGGGGACCATCCTAACGACAAATGTTGCTGTCCTATGCCTGACAAGAATATATGCATTAGGGGCACCTGGGTGGCTCAGTCGTTAAGCGTCTGCCTTCGGCTCGGGTCATGATCCCAGGGTCCTGGGATCGAGTCCCCACATCGGGCTCCCTGCTCGGCGGGGGGCCTGCTTCTCCCTCTCCCACTCCTGCTTGTGTTCCTGCTCTCGCTATCTCTCTCTCTGTCAAATAAATAAATAAAATCTTTAAAAAAAAAAAAAAGAATATATGCATTAAAAGAACAGGGAAAATTAGGAGAGTCTGATTTCTGAGCCCAATGCCATTATGACCAAGGTATTAGTATCAAGCTGGGTGGCAGTGGACCATCCCTGCCCATAGTGTAGCCACCATGGGCAAGAGGCTCTCTCCTGAACACTTGAGTAAGACATGTTCTGAAGACATGTGCTGAAGGGTCATAGTATTCAGGACATCTCTGAAGAAGGAAAAAGAACAGGGATGAAACAAAGACTGGGGTAAAGATGACTTACCAAGTCGCATCGAGGCTCTTGATTTATTCCGTACTCCCCATACAGGGCCACCAAAAATGTTGTGGGATCTTGGAGCGCAACAGCCAAGACAGAATTCTTGAGACATTTTACAGTGCAGCTTAGTAAGTTTATTTAAGTAGCATGGGGGCGGAAAGGGCTGCACTTGCCCTCTATGAAGCTGGTGGTTATATGCTCAGTGCTCGAGGGGGGAGGGGACATGCAGGGAGCATTAGATCATAAATATCTTTTTCGAGTTTCTACTTGTAAAACTACTTCTGCAAGATTTCTCTGGTGCTTATCATTCATTTCGATATTAACTATTGGTGAAATATACAGGCAGTCACGAGACCCTTTAAGAATGTAGCAACCAGCACTTACTTGATCCTTATCGAAATTATGCAAGCTATAGGTCAGCCTTCTGGGTTAAAGGTGAACATTTTGTGGTAACTTCAAAACTTAGCTGCTTCTTCCAGAAAGCTCCCTCTTTACCTCTAATAAATTCGCTTCTGTTGTACTATAATTTGTCTGTGTTATCTGTATTAGACTGAACTCCTTGAGGCCTGTGACTATTTCATATCCAGTTCTGCTTGTCTGTAGTACATAGATCGGCTTATTTAATGCTGTTGAAGCTAACTGAATGTCTGTAGCTTAGGGAATAAGTATTACTTGAATTGGAAGCTAAATTTTAAGAAAGGGATGCTTCAGGAATTTTAGGAAAATGAAGTTAGTTTTAAAGCATTAATCAATTTTTAAATCATTAATCCAAAATGTTGAGATTTTTTTTATAGAAGGACTGTTAGATAATTTAAAATGATTCTGATTTCTTTGTATTGAATGTTCTGGGAAAATATGGAAAAGATTTTGATCCATAACTTAATCCTTTTAAAAATAGAGTTAATTATTAGAACATTCTAGAACATTACTTTATTCCCATGCTGATGTCCTCTTACCACCTTATTTATTTATTGTCAGGTAAGAAAGAGAAAGGGGAGGAGTAGGGAGGAGGAGAGGGAGAGTTGGGAAAGGGGGAAGGAAGAGGGGTAGTAGTGTGTGTGTGTGGGGGGGGTTATTTTATTCTTCTGTGTGCAGACTTATTTAATCTCTCTGCTTTTTAATATGGATACATAGCTCTTGTCTCCAGTATTCTCTGAGTTCTTTGGCGATTCTGCAAATAAACTTAATTTGCTTCTTATTTCTTCCTTCCCTTCCTCCTTCTCTGGTGTTCTTGTTCAGGCATTAGTATTTCTGTTACTTTAAGGACTTCAATATATTATGGGTATTTTTCACCAAAAATACTGTTCTTAAGAGTTTATTGTCACTTTAGTGCAAGGAACAGAAATAAACTTTAAATCTTTTGTGTTGAAGCAGAAGTTAATAATGGTCAGCATATGTTTAGTATAAAAGTTGTATAAATTGAGGTGTTCAGTTCCTTTACATTAGAAAACAACAGTATAATTAAAATGGGGAAGAATTGGTGCATCTGGAAGGTGCTCAGAGAGTGGGAAAAACAGCACCTACATTGTAAGCTCCATAAGAGAATGGGTTTGGCCTTTCTTCCCGTGGACGCCGCTGAGTAAGCATCGTTAAAAGTCTCCCCTCCCACCATCGTTATGTGTAAGTCAGAGTCTCCCAAAGAGCCTGAACAGCTGCGGAAGCTCTTCATCGGAGGTTTGAGCTTTGAAACAACTGATGAGAGTCTGAGGAGCCATTTTGAGCAATGGGGAACGTGTACTGACTGTGTGATAATGACAGATCCAAACACCAAGGGCTCCAGAGGCTTTGGGTTTGTCACGTATGCCACTGTGGAGGAGGTGGATGCAGCCATGAACACAAGGCCACACAAGGTGGATGGAAGAGTTGTGGAACCAGAGGGCTGTCTCAAGAGAAGATTCTCAAAAACCTGGTGCCCACTTAACTGTGAAAAAGATTTTTGTTGGTGGCATTAAAGAAGACACTGAAGAACATCATCTAAGAGATTATTTTGAACAGTATGGGAAAATTGAAGTGATCGAGATCATGACTGACCGAGGCAGTGGCAAAAAGAGGTTTTGCTTTTGTAACATTTGATGACCATGACTCTGTAGACAAGACTGTCATTCAGAAATACCATACTGTGAATAGCCACAACTGTGAAGTAAGGAAAGCCCTATCTAAGCAAGAGATGGCTAGTGCTCCATCCAGCCAAAGAGGTCGAAGTGGTTCTGGAAACTTTGGTGGTGGTCGTAGAGGTGGTTTTGGTGGGAATGACAGCTTTGGTCGTGGAGGGAACTTCCGTGGTCGAGATGGCTTTGGTGGCAGTCGAGGTGGTGGTGGATATGGTGGCAGTGGGGATGGCTGTAACGGATTTGGTAATGATGGAAGCAACTTTGGAGGTGGCGGAAGGTATAATGATTTTGGCAAATACAACAATCAATCCTCAAATTTTGGACCCATGAAAGGAAGAAATTTTGGAGGCAGAAGCTCTGGCCCCTATGGTGGTGGAGGCCAATACTTTGCCAAACCATGAAACCAAGGTGGCTGTGGCGGTTCCAGCAGCAGCAGGAGCTACGGCAGTGGCAGAAGGTTTTAATTACTGCCAGGAAACAAAGCTTAGCAGGAGAGGAGAGCCCGAGAAGTGACAGGGAAGCTACAGGTTACAACAGATTTGTGAACTCAGCCAAGCACAGTGGTGACAGGGCCTAGCTGCTACAAAGAAGACATGTTTTAGACAATACTCATGTCTATGGGCAAAAAACTCGAGGACTGCATTTGTGACTAATTGTATAACAGGTTATTTTAGTTTCTGTTCTGTGGAAAGTGTAAAGCATTCCAACAAAGGGTTTTAATGTAGATTTTTTTTTTTTTGCACCCATGTTGATTGCTAAATGTAATAGTCTGATCATGACGCTGAGTAAATGTGTCTTTAAAAAAAAAAGAGAATGGGTTTGTATCTTTTATGTGTTTGTATTTGCTCTCCATTGTATACACAGTGCCGAGCATGGTGTAAGGTAATGTGTGGTTATCCAGTAGTTACTAGAAAGAAATATTTTGTAATTTTTATCACTGTAGATAAAAGTGCATCTAAGAAGTATGTTGCCTTTTTGTTTGGCTTAGTATTTTGATCCTGCTTTCCTTCTCCATTTCACCTTGAAAAGCCTGATATGAAAATTATCAAAATAAAAACCTTTCTTCTGATTTTGTCTTCTGTTTGTTTTTACTTTCCGTAGTTGTTACGTGTTTATTTGGCTCACTAAAATTGGGAGTTAATTTATGTTTTGACCATTATCCAATACATTGTTAGTACACAGAAAGCTTTTATTTTTAATAAACCTTGAGATCAGCCTTACTAATTTCAGCTGATAATTTAGACACACACCTAAAAAAAAAAATTTAAAGTAAGTGTAAGTAATAGACCATACTATCTTTTGTGAAGATTATTATGTTCACATCTCATTCTTTTCATTGAATAGTATAGATGTATTGTATGAAAAATAGAAATTATTTTTGTATTGAATATGAACACTTCTTTTTTAAGCCGAGACCACAGGGTTAAGTTCTGAGGAGATTTTATCCTTAATGGCATCACATAAGCAGTTAACTTCTTAATAATTAAGAAACAATCCTGCAACCTTGGTTCAATTTTGAAGTATACTTTTGGTTGCTAATTAAGCTACTTTTCACCATTAATTCATAGTAGTTTAAAAGGATTCCCTATTAGGCAGTTTTTTCAAAGAATTATTAATAGGGTAAATGTAGACAATTATTTTAAAACTAAGGTGATACCCACCAGATGGTGCTATTTTGCCTGTTTTGTTTGTGCAAATACAGAGGATAAATGAATACAGAACTTTTTAAAAAGTGTATGGAAGATCTAATATTTTTAGGGCATATTTTGGGGATAGAGGAGCTCAGTGGAAAGGATTCCAACATAAACTTATATTCAGTACTGAATTTTATCTTAAAGGTAGAAGCTATTGCTAGAGTTACATGCCAGAGAAACTTCTATTTAGTCTAAAATTAAGTAGTAGATATTCTTAAGGTTGACATAAGGTAAATCCTATTAACTGTCATAATTCCATAGGCATGAAAAATAAAATTATTTAAAAGGAATTGTATATTAGCAAAATTTATGTTTTAGTTTTCTTTACGTTTTCAAGTAAATAATATTACTATATGAGTTACATAATTATTTACAAATTAAGGGAAACATTTTATTATTTTATGTAATCTTGAAATTTTCCAAATAAAAGAAAAATTAGGCTTGAATTTATTATTTTTACAAAAGAAAAGGATGACTCTTCTAAACTAATTTGTATATTAGGAAGAAAGTAGTATGTCGTATACTGTTCATTTAGATGCTACAATTGAATGACTATCCATTATAGTTAAAAATGGCAAGCTAATGAAATACACTTCTTAGTGAAATACGAAGGATTCAGCCAGTAATCCTAGGATTTTAGTTTACTTAGTTTTTCTGGTCTTATTATCACTTCTGTTTTTGTGTCTGGCTATGAGATTGAAGCATGAAAGTATGTAGGTGCTATTGTAACTATTTGCCAAAGTCATTGTTGTTATGCCCACAATGATTTTATTGGAATGTGAAATTAGAGATTGAAGTTGCTTCTATTTCTTTCATTTTTTTCTCTGGAAAAGTACATGTGTTACTTTGAATTCAGTGAATAAAACATACAACTATAGGCTAGTAAATATAGATGGATTTTCTTGTATTCCTAAACTTTGTGAATAGTTTAATCATAATTATGTTAACATCATCTCATAATACTTTTAAGATTATGAACCACCATACTGCTTTATCTTACAACATGTCTTTTTTTTCTTTTACTTTGATTTTTGGAATCCTTCAGATCTCTCCTGTAAGAGTATAAAGTTCTTCCTGCTTTAGTTTCCCTTATTCCACTTAGGACAGTGCTTTACATCTAGCAGATGATCTGTATATATTTATTACATAAGGAGTAATTTTGGGGGCACCTGGCTGGCTTAGTTGGTAGAGCATATGACTTGATCTTGGGGTCATCAGTTTGAGTCCCACATTGGGTACAGTAAATAAATAAATAAAAAATTTTTAAAAAAGAGTAACTTTGTTATGCCAAGTATTAGGAGTATTGTAATACAAAGGAAATTATGTAGATAGGTTTTCCTCCTTGTGGGAATTTCCATAGTAACAAATAGTATTCTATATTCTGTTGTTTTTATCTTATACTTCCTTTCTAAGATGGCTTTTTATAGTTGGCTTAAAAAGGGTCATCTCGCTGTAATATCTTAGGATCATAATAGTGATGCATTCTATCAGAGTGAAGTTAGGTATATTTTCATTAAAAAAAAAATCTTGTCATCAGTCTGGGTTCATGCGGATCTTGAGAATTACAGATGATTAGTGTGGTACAGAGCTTCTTGGGAGAGTTCATTAAACTTTTTTCAGGGAATTCATGAAGGCAGAACTATTTTCAAAATTATACTCAGGCATCGTTTGTCCCTTTCATTCTCATTTTCTCTCGAATAAAGTAGTCGTCCAGAGGTTACATGATATGCGATATTGATTAAATGAGTAAGCATGTGAAAAGCTAGCTGTCTTCTATTAAGCCAGACATTAAAGAGATTTACAGTAATTATAAAACAATGTTACTCTTCTCACTAAATTTTTTTAGTTTAGCTTTATTTTTCATAAAATGTTACTTATGTTGACATTTAATGTTTCTATTATTTAAAAAATAATAAATATTTAAAAATTTTGTTTTAGTTTTAATGTGGTAAACAGGGATGTATATGACAACTGTTTGAAGTACTCAGTACTTTTTTTAAAGTATAAAGAGGTGCTGAGATCAAAGCATATGAGATCTTCTGATCCTAATTCTTTATCTTCATTTCACCAATGAGGGTACTCAGAGGCTCAGAAGGGTTAAATGGTTTAGTCAAGTATACTCAGTCGTTTTTTGGCTTAGCTAATACTTGCATCACTGACTTTTGACCCCTGTGATTTATTTTATTAACTGTTTCACTATTTAGATATTCTCTGAACTCATACCAACTCTGAGCTCCTTAAACTGTTTTCTAGTTTAATATTTTAACTTTACTAAGTACATGAACAAATTGGGAACAATGACCTGATTTTTCAGCTGCAATAAAATGGTGTCTTTTTTTTAAACACATGAAATAACATTGCTATAAAGTGTGAACTTTCTAGCAGGAAAAGGGAATTGACATATAAAATAGTGTAGCCTTATTGTTAAGAAAATAAAGTTGAGGGCAAAGAGGTAGCCTCTTGTATTTTAGAGACTCTTTCACTATCTTCTTTACTTTTTTTTTCTTCATCAACAATAAAACATTGGTTACAAGCTTCCCTGGACATTTATGGCAGTCCACTCATACAAGAACAAAGTATTCTATCCTTAGGTTTCAAAAATTAAGAGGATAATAATTCTGTATTGCTCTTTTGTTAGCTGTGTATTATTTCTCATGTTGAAACTCATGATTGAGATAGTGCATTCTAAAACATTCCTTTTTTTCATTGTTGAAGGAATTTAAAATCATGTTATGAGATGGATTGAAAACCTGGATAGTTTTTACTTGGAAGAAAGAGAACCAGGACATATGTGATAACCCTCCTTCATTTGATGAGCTTTCTTCATGTGGAAATGAGATTAGATCTATTGATTTATTTAGGATAGAAGAACCAATGAGTAGATGGTATAGATTGAATCATTTTAGCTCACTAAAGGAAAACTTTCTAGTAGTAAAGAAAGAGAAAAATAGAATGTTTGCTTGGGAGGTAATGAATTTCCTTTCTCAGGAGGTGTTAGTGTATAGACCAGACACTTGGTAGAAATTAACCAAGTTGGCACATGAATCAAGGAGATATAATTAATTGGGTTAAATAATCCTTTTTCTTTCTATTTTTCTTTCTATTTTATGTATACTTGTTGAAAATAACTTTTAATTTTATAAGAGTTTTATTTATTTTTAAAATAAGAGTTAATTTTGAAAAGACAGTTGGTTTAGTAGATATATTCTACTCTTGTATCAACTAATCAATAAACTTGATGACTTTATGGATCTGTTGTTTTGCCATGAACAATTTATTTGATTTTCCTAGGAGGGTATATTTTATCTGTTCCTTTCATTGCAAGCCATTTGAAGAGATGATTGATTGGTAGCAAAAATTTGGAAGAGAAAAAGATAAGCACCAGAAAGAAGAGAAAAGCCACTTTAAAAAATATTTTAATTTTTAAGAAATTTTTTATTTTAAGTAGGCTCCATAACCAACATGGGGCTCGAACTCACAACCCGATCTAGAGTCACATGCTCTACCAACTGAGCCAGCCAGGCTCCCTGATAAAAGCCATTTTAAAGATGTACATTGAGTTGATATTTTGGGGTTTATTTTATTTTCTAATTTGTTTATGATCACAAATATTTTCTGCCTCTTTTCTTGTCTGTTTCTTTTCCATAAATTCCAACAAACTAAACTATCCATAACCATATCTGTGTGAAATTCTCAATTGTTGGTGATTTTATAAGTAGAGGGTCCTTTGTAATATAATCACTAAAATGATGACTGCATTAAAACATGTTGTGTAACTTCCTAATTTAACAGAGTATTTTTTAAGAAGAGGAGAGAAGGGTCTACCCTAATATTTTTAACTCTTTTTCTTGGCGTACTAGAGAGAAATACATATTCTTACTACTACTAGAAGTAAATGAATAATAGTAAAATATTTGACTTTATTTGGGGCACCTGGGTGGCTTAGTTGGTTGAGTGTCTGCCTTCAGCTCAGGTCATGATCCCAGAGTCCCAGGATCAAGCCCCTCATCAGGCTCCCTGCTCAGTGGGGAGTCTGCTTTTCCCTCTGCCCCTAACCGTGCTTGTGCGCTCTCTCTCTCTCAATCTCTCAAATAAATAAAGTCTTTAAAAAAATATTTGGCTTTATTTTCATTTGGGAGTAGGTGTTTGTGATTCTGTGTCTGTGCATGTATCTTTATATATTATTTATATTCTTAATACTTTCAAAAAGAATTTGAGATCTTATAAAGTCTTCTTGTACACACACACACACACACACAAAGTTTATTTGTTCATCAGACATTTATTGAAGTCCTGGCATAGGATTTAAGTTAAATTACCCACAGGGTTCAGGTGGGAAATGAGTGAGTGAAATGAGCCAGTTTGAAGCAATAGATATTGATTGGTAGATACATTATAACCTCTTTTTAAAATAAGATCCATCACACTGTAGAATCTTGCCTTTAGTTTTACTGTGTAAATAAGATTTCTATATGTGATATTTAAATAGTTAAGAAATTAGACCAGAACTGAATGAAAGGGTTTCCTGGTTAACCTGTTGTCATTAGACAAATTAAATTATCATCCCATTTTGTAAGTATAGTGAGATTTTCTTTTACTTATTAACTCATGTATTCATTTAACTAATATTAATCTTAACTATGTATAAAGTTTAGACATTGGATACAGAGCATCAGATGGTTTTCTTTCACAAATAGAGTTCACAATCTAACAGTGAAGACAGATTTGAGTATTAAATTTCTTACTGTTTCTAGTAAAATGTTGAGTAAAATAGCTTACAACATGGAGTCTAATGACTTGACTTCTTATTCTGCTACTACTTACTCATTCAGTTAACATTAGTATTAAATGTTTATTATATATGCCAGAAATGTAGAGATTAGTAAGATATAACCCTAAAACTTAAAAATTTAGTCACTTTAGGATTATAGACAGGCAGTAGCTAGCTATCATGCAGTGTGATAACTGCTATGATTAAATTATGTATAAAATCTTATAAGAGGAGTAGATTACTCTAGCTGTGAGCGATGCAAGAAGCTATCTCAAAGAGCTGATATTTGAGCTGGGACTTGAAGAGTGAATAGAAATTAGTTGGGAACAGAGGAATCAACATGAACAAAGGAGTAGTTTACCCTATGTCCCATTACAGGGATCTGCATGAACACACAGAAACATGAGTGAGTAAAGTGTATTTGGAGAATGATGAAATATTGTATAGTCTGGTTAAAACACTAGGTATGTCATGCAAGGAGTGGTAAGAGAAGAAGCTATACATGTAGGTTGGAGCCAAATTGTGAGAGGTCTTATATACTGGGCAAAGTTGTTAGTTTTTTATATGAGACGTATTTCGGATCTGTGGAAGGTTTTTAAGCAAGCAAACATGCTTAGTTTTCATTTTACTAAGACAGTTGATAGCATATAGGATGAAGTTGAGGCTGGTGGCAGGTATGCTAATTTGAAAACTCTTTATCATAGATATGAATAAGATAATGATCTGTTATAATGAGGTAGTGGTGACTTTAGAACAAGGGGATGGATTCAAAACATAATTCAGAGGCTTGAATTGATGGGATTTAGTGACTGATAAGTGAAGAGAGAGGGCATCCAGGAAGATTTTCAGATTTCATCTTTGGCATCTCTATAGGTAAATGGCCATGCTATTATCTTTGAAAGTAAAAGCAACATGATTTGGGAGAAATTAATGAATTTGGTTTTGTAAGGTTGAGTTTGGAGGAGTAAATCTAAAGGAATGTTGGAGGTGTTTAAGTTGTAGCTGGAGGAAAGGCCTACTCAAGAAAAAGAAGAATTAGGAGAGCGGTGGTGTTAGGTATATCTCAGCCTGTTATTTAGAGTATATAGGAGGTAGAATCAATCATTTTCTGGTTTGGAAATGAGCAATGTTTTAGTTATCACAAATTCTAAATTAGTAGTGCAGGAATCACAGGGCACCTGGGTGGCTCATTCGGTTAAGCATCCGATTCTTGGTTTTGGCTCAGGTCATGATCTCAGGGTCCTGGAATTGAGCCCCAAATTAGGTTCCATGCTCAGTGGGAATTCTGCTCAGGATTCTCTCTCCCTCTGCCCCTCCCTCTGTTGGCACTCTCTCTCTCTCCCTGTCTCTCAAATAAATAAATCTTTAAAGAAAAAAAGAAATCCCAATAATTATGTATGTTATAGACTAATATTAGTTAAAATTTTTTGAGTGCTTGCTATGAAGCTTTGTTAAAATCCTAAGCATTTTGCATTCATCATCCTATTTGATTCTCATACCAGTGTAAATTAAATATTACTACTATCTGGATTTTCAAGAGAGAAGGTATCTTGACCAAGATTTTACAACAAATAAGCTGAGTGGGTATTCAAACAAATGTCAGTCTGACTTTACAACCTAGGCTCTTCGCCACTATGCTGTTTGTCTTAGAGAACATGAGAGCTGAAATGGATCTGAAGACAAACGGATCTGAAGGCATCTAGATGTCTTGACCTATAATTAAATATATGTCCTAACTGAAATCTGTAATTTTAGTCACAATTAGCTATCTAGTTTACTTAATAAAAAGCTTACCCAGCACCATTCATTACTGCAGTTGTCCTTGAAGCAGATCCTTCTGTGTGTGTGTGTGTGTGTGTGTGTGTAGGCTCATCCCTCTACTATGTGAGTTTAGGAAGTCCTTATCAGTCCAGTCCAATCATGGTTGTCCCATTTTTTTGGGCTAGTTAGTTAAGACATAGGCAGGTGACTCATATCTGGTCATTGAGGCATGAGGGGAGGTTTGATGAAGAGCCTCTGGGAGAGGTGTTTTTTTCCCCCCTGTTTCTGGATGTTCTCCGTCTAGGTGGGTGCTTGGAATTGTGAGAGCTACTTTGTAACCATATGAGGGCTAGTTGCGTTTGAAATCAAAACACTCTATATAGCAGAGTGAAAAGATGGAGAGAACCTGGATCTGTAGAGATCTTGTTGAACTCCTATATTACCCAATCCTAAAAGCTACCCTGCTTCATGACTAAGTCTTATGTGAAATTGGAGGAAACTTTTCAGCCATTTTGAATTGGATTTTTTTGTTTTTTCATATTTACAACTGAAAGAAAATTAACTGGGGTCTAAAGTATCTACCCTTGACCTGAGGTACATAAAAAGCCATTGTAAGGCTTGCATTACTATTAAGATGCATTTAAAAGAGGAATAGTAGACAATTTTAGTATCAATGTGTCTAAGTTCATTGGGGTAGAAGCTAGAAATGATCATGTTCTAGAAAATAGATGGTATAAGTTAAAGTAGCGAAGTGTCATTGAGGAAATAAAGTCATTATTTTGATAATAGCTAAATAGGTAAAAGGAATAGGAAACCGGTCTTCAAATTAGGGTAGGAAATAGATATGGATTTAATTTGTAGTCAGTTAACAGGTTTCAGGGGTCCTCACATAGACCCATCCAAGGCCCTGAGAGGAGTCCAAGCAGTGTGTTTACATAACTATTTTTTGGGGGGGGAGGGGTAAAGTTTACAAAAGTTAGATATTTTAACTGATTAAAATTGTTGTTTCTTTCACTTTGACTTTCCCTCTATCATACCCTCATGTTGGGTGGCATTAGAGTGGCCAGAGGCATTTTGGGGATCTGGTTAAGGGGTTACATTTAGATGGAGTACATGGTTTGCAGTTGTTTCTGTGTATTGTTAAGTTCTTACTAGCTGTTTGGGCATAGTTATGACTTCCAGAAATATTCTTTTTTTTTTTTTTTAAGATTATTTATTTGAGAGAGAGCGTGAATGAGCACACTGGGGCAGGGGTAGAGGGAGAGAGAATTTTTTTTTTTTAAGATTTTATTGATTTATTTGAGAGAGTAAGTGAGCACATGAT